ACACAAGTTATAAAACAAACCAGGGCACTAATTGCCCTTTCAAACTAGAAATCGTATTAAAGCTTGCTCACCAGTTAGTTCCTCTTGAACAAACAACGAACAGCTGCACACTGAATCACCTAATCTTGAACCACGAGTTGTAAATACAAGACCATGACGTCACTACTCAAATATAGGGTCTTACTTACACCCAAATATGGTCAAAAATGCAAATTTTGAGAGGGTTACGCAGAATTTGAGAATTTTTGCCTACATTGCGCGGCGTTATAATTCTGCCGCCGAGTCAACCTCGCTTCTTAGCTCGGTTGCCTCATTGGCAATTAATTTACTGCTGTAAATATTTATTTCGCGCTGGGTCCGGCCAGAAGCATATAATCCCGAAGCGTCTAACTTCCCCTTATGTGTTAAGGTGGCTCCGTAATTAATATAGGCTCATTTAGCTGTGACTAAGTTTTCGTCATAACTTTTTCGTTTTTAACGCGATGGCTGCGAAACTTTGCAAAGACCAACAGACGTCCTTTAAGAAGTCGCTTCTCTTACGGTGCATGTCATTTGTAGTCAACTTTGTCTTGTTAGGAGGAACTAACTCAGTCCTGGTCATTTGGGGATTAATACTGTATTCCGTTTTTCGTAAAATATTACCTCGTGTTAAAACAGTAAATGCTTTTTGCACCATATCATTTACATCGCCATACAAGTTTCGCGCGACAATCTCGCTTATCAGTATTTCCATATTAGGAGGTAAATTTTGATTGATTCTCTGAAAAACCCGAGCTTTGCGACAGAGTTATACGCTTCGGGGTTATATGCTTCTGGTCCGGCCCACTGACTTTTAATATTTCAGTTCATTGTTTTGTGGCGATACTTGTAGGAGTTTGAATTATTGACAAGCGATTATCAGAGATTTCTGAATCCATCAAGGATGTGTCTGTACAATCGATTCACCAACTTTTGTCAGCGCTGGTTAAATTAAAATAGATCGCGAGCCTGGGCGCGGTGTTATTTTCCTTTCCCTGTAGAATCCCTGTGGCGATTACTTTGTCCATGTTTTGTTTATGTCACGTATTACCGAATTTTATAAAGCGAAACCAAAGGCCCACATCACATACATAGCCTAGGAAGCCGCTCCTTCAAAAAGAAGTCAGCATTTTAAGTCGCAGGAAACCTTGTAAAAGTCGTGAAATTCACGTTCCAAGCGTATTTGGTGACTCTCGCCAAAATACAAGACACGCCAGCGCGCGAGGTCGCGAGGAGTCACTCGAGCTGCATCCTATCCTTTGATCTGATTGGTCAACATCAAAACAAAAGGTTTCACGTCACGGAAATCGTTTTGCTGCTCGGGTTCGCAGGCGCGTTATTTTTCGGAGGGAGAGAAGCGACGACCGGAAATACGTCTGCGGTTCGCAGGCTATCCATACTCCCGTATACGACTTTTTTTTGCACACCACTGGACGCCAGCGTTGTTAAAGGGACTGTGTCACGATAGTGCGCATGTGTGAGCTGTGACAGTAGCTGATTGTCTTTGAACCAAACGGAAGCGAGTAAGATGCACGCGAGGTAATCTACATAATTTAAGATTCATTGTTCGCGAAGCAGGAGTTTTCCGGACGTTTTTGTTCGATATTGTATATCCCCATAATTTATATTTATTCTCTGGTATTCCTCAGATAAATGTTGCAGCTGATAAGAATATGATTAACAACCCTGTCCTGCTTTAAAGCAAACATTTACCGACGTGTATTTTTACGTACCTACGCTGGAAAACCAGTCTCCGATCCGCAAACAAAACAAACCTTACTGATCTCTCTGTTTGGCCTAGATATAAACTTAGAAATACCTGCAATTAGCACCTGACCGGTGATCAAAACACATAGTATCGAATGAGGCAAACGTTTTGCTTAAAATGCCAGCTAAATGCGCAGTATCATAAAATAAGCTATGCCATGCGGTCGGCTAGCGCGATGAACACTCTGCATGAACACTGTAGCCCAGACGATCAACACCAGCTGAAAATCGTAGCAGTGTTTGAAAGCAATTCTTAGCGCTTCATCATAAAACACTTTCATTGAAATAGTAGCCACATAACGTATAAGTATAAAGATCTGAAAGAACAAGCAAAAAAGGCAAAAACAGGAGCCCATCACTATGGCATATATTTAAATTGCTTATTTTAGCAAATAAAAAATTCCTTCCGAGTCGTTGCGTCAGGTGTCCCGCAAAACAAACGTTAAACGGAACATTCAGGCAACAATGTATTTTTTAAAGATCAATTCTTAAACATCTACGCTCATACAGAAAAGATACAAGGAATATTCCCATTGAACATAGCGTGGCCTGTCGTCAATACTTTCTGCTTTACAACTACGGATCGGAGTCACTGATGAATCGAATGCCTGTGAAAACGTTTCATGTTCGATCGATTGTTTCCTCAAACCTCATACGACTTCCTGCACAACAAAAGATTGCTGGGTTTTCTCCTTCTGATTCCATGCAATGGATAAATTAAATTGTTGCAGACAATCGGAAGTCATGTCGCAGATCAGCTTCATTCGCCGATGCGTCCCATTAGTAGTCAACGGCTGTATCGAGGAAACCCTTTTTAACATCTTAAAAATATCCGTCAAAGGTAGGTCGTTGACTGGAGAACCTTACGCCAGATGACCACATTAAAGGCCACATTTGATCCGTTTGTAGGAACACTGACAACAACGCACATGGCTTCGTGCAGTTCTCCTTAATGACTTCGAATTTTCTCGACAATACTTGCACAAAAATACAAAATATGGCGTTTAAAACTTCCCAAATGGACCAAATAGCTCTCGAATACTGATATTATGGCTTTCTCGGGCGTCTCAGGGTCGATGGAAGAGGATTTCCTCACCAAACGCCAATCTTGAAAAACTGTTCGTCAGAACAGAAATCAAGTTGCCGCACATGCGCAGAAGCGTGTTACAGTCCCTTTAAGGACACTAGGGTTTGAGTGACAAGCAATAAACTTCCTACTGCGAAAAGCAATTAGTTTCTTTACCGTTTGGTAAAGTGTCACATCTTTTAACAAGATTAAGGCGGCATCTGGGGATAGAGTAATTGGGGCCGGTTCGAACGTCGAACCACAGGGAGCCCGAACGCTGTATTAGCTATTATTAAAAACTGAATCATTTGATAATGCAATTCTAGCGTTTTGATTGGCTTAGCCATTATGGTATATGAGCCATTATAGCATGCTCTCCATATATGGTCGGTGTTCGCGTCAGTTTTAAATTGGAAGCTAGAGGAAGCTAGCTGAGATTTTTTTCCGCGAAGGATAGAATGGCGCCCGAAGCAAATCGTTGTAATTCGTTTCTTAGAATTCTAGAAAATGCAATTTCATCGGGAAAATAATAAACAAACAAAAACGCCACAAGAGCTTGTTTGAAAGTTTATCGAAAAAACACCTGAAAATACATGGAACTAAAGTACCTTGAAAAGCTACGAAAGAGGACACGTGTTGTTTCTTCATGATTGCGGAGCCACTCGCCAAGTCCCTAGCCGATAGATAACTGCGGCTTGTTTATCCGACATGAAGAATATAAATCACAAGCAACCAGAATACAGGCTATGCAGCCATATTCATTACAGTCATCGAGGCGTCAGTATAGCTTCTTTTCTCGTTCAGCAAAATCAGCTGGTGGCTTCAAACAACTTCATAACAAGCGACCGAGGTAATAGTTTTTCTCCGTTGTTCTTTCTTTTGCAACTGCACGGAAAATCCAAATTCACAGTAATTTCGACGGCTGTTACTTAAAAATTCTTTTTCTTCACATTATCTCCCATTAGCTGTCCTGCTGTGTAAACTCCTAGAATCTCGGTGAGTTTTTAAAAGTGTTCATCGCTACAATGTTTTGATTTTTCATTCATTCAGTCCACGCGAGTCCGTTCGCGCGTTGAGAGTTTTGATAGACGTGTGACATGTGAATAGCGGAAGTCCCTTGTCTTTTCTGGTTTGTTCTAACAGAATTAAGTCGGGGAGATTTTGTGGGCGTTTTTAATAAAACAATTATTCCACTCGCGCTTGTTGGATATGAGATGATTATAGCCGACTCTGCGCTACGCGCCTCGTTGGCTATTCACCATCTCATATCCAACGTGCCCTCATGGAATAATTGTTAAATACCAAAAAAATAGATGTATTTACGCTGTATTAGCTAATAAAATAATAAGATGCATTTACCTTTGTTCCTGTGTCTTTAAGAGTCGTTTTGGAAGGGATTTGAATCCGATCAGAGACGGTTAGCACTGCTGGTTATCAGATGCGTTTGCTTGTCTGGCGCGTCGTAAATAAGACGCTCAAGTTTCGTCTCACGTTTCTAATATTGTTAACTATTAACTTTCCGGAGATCATCTCCCAAGGAGATTGGGAGTTAATAGTTAACATGACAATATTAGAAACGTGAGACGAAACTTGAGCGTCTTATTTAGTTATTTTCTCTGATTACTTATTTAAGTAGCAATGTTAACCGTCTCTGATCGGATAGAAATCCCTTCCAAAACGACTCATAAAGACATAGGAACAAAAGAAAATGCATAATATTTTATTAGCTAATACAGCGTAAATGCATCTAATTTTTTTCTATTAGCTAATACAGCGTTCGGGCTTAGAAACGTGAGACGAAACTTGAGCGTCTTATTTACGACGCGCCAGACAAGCAAACGCATTTGATAACCAGCAATGCTAACCATCTCTGACCGGTTTCAAATCCCTTTCAAAACGACCATAAAGACAAAAGTTTTCAAAGTTTTTTAAAAGGGATCTGAATCCGATCAGAGACGGTTTTGATTTTGAGCATGTTGATATATGCTTATCTTGTGCGATTTATTTTAAACTTTACCGTAGTTTCTAACGAACGAAGCTTAGGCAAATGAAAGGATAAATATTTTGTGTGTTCGGAGTTCTCTTTTCATGTCAGTAGTTATTCCTCAGATATTAATTTTGCCCAAGACACTACCTTCAGTTTGAGTCCTCATTCAAATGTGTTTTGTTTGCAAACAAAGAGGGAAAAATTATAAATTCCAAAAACTACACCACCTTGGAACAAGATTATGATTTTAAAAAGATTAGCTAAGTTCAGAAAATAAATGTTCAAGTTTGCATGCTTTTTTGTCAAGGACCACATCTGGCTAAATATGCTTCAAAGGGAAATTATAAAATCAGGAAAATGGTAGCATTTCTATTTTGCCTTTCATTTGGCCACTGTTGATCATTTTTTGCCATACAGTTGCATGTAATTTTTTACCCCTTTAAACATCAACCTGCCACATAATTGAACAACTGAACGACAAGTTAGTTTGTGTCTGTATAAAAATGTAGTTAATGAAATCAAACCCTGTAAAATTAAGATTGACTTGTAGTAGTGGATATGAAAAACACCATAGGATGCCCAGGAAAATAAAAATGTAAAATGATATATAAGATACAGTGAAACCCCGCCTTCCGGCCACCTCGGTAAGACGGTCGCTTCTTTATTAGAGGGTCTGGATGGGGTTAACTGACAAACGGCCAGAATTTTAACTGACAATTGACAAATCGCCTAAAATTTAACTGAGAACTGACATTTGCCTTGGAGTTAACTGAAAACTGACAAAGGACCTGATTGTCCCTTATTTTCTACAAAACCCCTTTTTAAGGCCCGAAATAGAATTGTTCCACTCTTTTCGTCAGACAATGTGAATCAAATTCGCGTTTTATGGGTAATCTTAGCAGCAAGACGCTTAAGTGTCATATTTCAGTAATCATTTACTGTAAAACCCATGTGTGTCATGTACCACCTGTTGTAAATGACTTACGGCCTATGGCTTCAAATTTACGCTCCTCCGAGAACTCACCGGCATACGAAGGCTGCTAATGAGGGCGTTACAAAAGCAATTGCAAGTTTTTGCCGAGATGATTCAGACACAGTCTATTTTGGTCTTTCTTACGATCTAGTAGTCGTCCCAATATTATACCTGCCAACTTTGGGTCAAATGAGTTAAAGTTTTTCACCTTGCCATGATCATGACTGAGACTGATTCCGGAAACGTCCCGGCGACCCAAAGATTTCCGACGAATCTCCGAATACTTCAAAACCTTGCCGAAAATTAAATGTCCGCAGATGTTCCCAAAACGTTTGAGCACTTCCGAAGCTACTTAAAAGATGACAATTTTAAGGTGCTTTGATTTAGTTTAGACCGCAAAACAGTCCGTACTTTTCCGTATTCAAGTAAAGCGCGAACAGTCATGTGGAGACCCTTACGCTACGCTAAACCGATTTTGAGAAAAAAAAAAACAACAACAACAACTTTTTTGCAATCGAGTTGGAACACAAAAAAGGAAGAAAAGTTATCACGTGTTAAAGAACAATTTGTCTGGATTTGTGAGTCAGGCGTGAAAACTTGTCCTTGATGCGTGAGATCGATGTCTTTGGTCCACAGGCAAGAGACTCAAGCATAATGCTTGAGATGGCAAGTATACTAATAAAATATTCTGAAGGTATAAATTTTGATTGGCTTAATGGTTGGAAATGTTGGACTCTGGCAAGTAAAAACGTTCAAGTGGAGGAGAGTAACAGAAGACAGGAAGATTGAGAAATGGAAGGCCATTTGAGGCCATTGGAGAAACGGAAGGCCACTTGAAATGCTACAATAGCAAAACTGATCAAAATTAAGGTACTATTGCATCAGTTTTCGAATTTAATTTTAATTTTACATTTTATGTGCCAATTAAGCTAAATTTCGCATATGCATCAGAAATGCACCAGTATGTTTCATATTTAATCATTAATTATCATTTAACTGACAACTGACAAATGGCCAAAATTTTAACTGACAACTGACATTTGTAACCTTCCATCCAGACCCTGTTATTACGGCCACTTTTTTTTTGGCGGCCTGGCAAAACCGCCATACATTTTCTTGTAAAAAAACCCTCGTTAATACGGCCATTTTTTTTGGCCTATTGGTGACCGTATTAACGGGGTCGCACTGTAATATTATTTGTAGTCAACAATAACAGTTAGAAACTAAGTTGAGGCAGGCAAAAACATTTTTCAGAGACCATGAACCTTCACTGACTTTACTGTTACAACAAGTGGTGAAAGGGTCTTAAAATTAAGATTAGCGCTGATCGTATGGCCCCCAAAATATAGCAACAGGCAATAACATAATAATGTATTAAGGCGTTTCTTATAACGTTCGTTTACAGCATAGTTAAGTTATTATTCACTTCTATCGGAAGTTCTACTTACCGAGAAAACGTGTTATATATATATGCTGTTCTTTGTGAGTTTGACTAATAGTCGCGGGTCGCGGTTCGCGGGTCCAAAGTCGCGGTCTCGGGTCCAAAGTCGCGGTCGCGGGTCCAATGTCGCGGTCGCGGGTCCAATGTCGCGGCGCGGGTCCAAAGTCGCGGTCGCGGGTCCAATGTCGCGGCAGGGGAAAATGATTTGGGGTTTCAGGGAAACAGATGAGTGAAAACGCCTGATATGAACACAATATAAAGGGAAAAACTCTTTTTTTATGCAAGATACTCCACGGTAGCCAATTTACAGGTTACGGATGTTAGAGTCAACAAAATAATGTCTCAAGAAAAGACCTAAAGGAAAAAGCTGGCCGACTTCTGTGTTCACCGCAAGTTTATTTAGTTTTCTTTCTATCGGGCCCAGTTATACTTATGCATAACAGTATCTCATAAAAAAGTTACCATAAGTTACCATTGCTTTTTTCTTGTCGATGAATTGCTCGCAAATGGCTTAGGGGTTCATTTACTGAAAAATATGCGATACACTTCATAGACTACAGATTATAAACGTTACAACAACTTAAAGCCTTTTTTTTAAAAAAAGCGAACTCGGGCTCAAAAAGCTACGAGTCTGTCGGTAGAAGAAACGAGAACTCTTATATTTAACAAATGTTTCCGACAAAACTGAAAGAAAATGTAAATAGGCGCATGAAACTTCATTCAAGCGGTATTCAAGGCATGAATTTAATATGGAAACAAGTAATAATCCACAGAAAGGAGTCTGTTCCTCGAAGCAAGATTTTCGCTTAATGCTTTTCTTTTTACAACTGAGACGGCAACCCAGAGTGTTCAATATAACTTCTTGTTCTCTTCACCTAAATGGCAACCAGGACAACCTGACAATAGGAAGCCATTCAATGTGCGTCTCAGTCAAATCTTGAAAACATGCATCGTAAATAACCAAGTGAGTAAGTAGGTAAGGAAATAATAATAATAAGCTCGAGCTTTATCCCCTCTTGCTATGGATTATCACTTGTTTCTGTATAAAATTCATGCCTTGAATACCCGCTTGAATGTACTTTACTGGCACTTCAAGCCCAACGTCTCTCCTCCTCTTTCCAGTTACTTGTGCAAAGAGTTTATTTTGGGAGTTTGCGACCAGGAAGTTTTTCAACAAGCGTTTTCTTTATTTTTGCCGAAAACATTTGTTAAAATTGAAACAGTTCTCGTTTCTTCTACCGACAGACTCGTAGCTTTTCGAGCCCGAGTTAGCCTTTTTTAAAAAACGTTTTAAGTTGTTGTAACGTTTATAATCTGTAGTCTATGAAGTGTATCGCATATTTTTCAGTAAATGAACCCCTAAGCATTTGTGAGCAATTCATCGACAAGAAAAAAGCTGACTAGTCTTCGTTAAAAAATTTAAAAAAAGAAATTTCTATTTTGTTGTTTATCTTATCTTTTTGTTAAATTTGGTGATTTTTGTTATCCTCGACACTTCCCGCACCGGCGACCTTTACCTGCACCCGCACCCGCACCCGCGACCTCTACTCGCGAGTCGCGACCCGCGACATTTAGTCATACTCCCCGAAAATTTCTAAATACCGCAAACTGCTTGGTTTTGTAAAAACCGCAAAACCGCAACTTAAATAAAAATTTGCCTACTGCCAGTTGAAAAATTACTTTGTCATCTTTGAACTTCATTTTATTCTATAAGTCACGATAGCAGAAAATGGCTGCGGTCACATCTGGGCTACTATCGTTAAGACGGGGATAACTATAGTTAGCTATTTCGGTAATGTGACCGCTATTCTGTTCGCTCTAACTATAGTTAGAAAATTTACGCCTCGGTGATCCAAAACAATACAGACTAACTATAGTTATACCCAAGCAGGGTTCGTTGGTTAGTCTTAAGTTTACAAACAAACAACCAATCAGAATGTGACACTTCTTTTCGTACGTGCGAGATGAGCATATATAAATACGCAAAATAAAAACCAAGCGTAAAGCGAGGGGGAAACCAAAAACAACAAACAAAAAATTTACATAGGCTAATTAGCACTAACTGTTGTTAACTGCGTGGTGTGACCGCAATGTCGACCGAAGGCACTAACTACAGTTAGGTATGACGTCACCTAACTTGACACTAACTTAAGTTAAACTTTAGTACGTTGTAGATGTGACCGCAGTCATTGTTACAGTACAAAACCAGATGTTCTTTTTTTTTTTAATAGTACATTAAAGGGTGTTGTTCTTGGTTGAAACTAAACTATATAGAGACTGGACTGGTGTGCGATAATACAAAGGCCCAGTCGTAAACGCTTAAGAATTTATCTCTTTATGATAATAATTAAATAAATTATTTATACAGGGTAACCACTCCAGTTAAATACATGTAACTGCTATCAATGTGGGCCCTGTGAAATAATTAATTAATATTACAAACATAATGAAGCTAAAAAATAAAGATGCTCAAAAATAAGAAGAAGAAAGAAAAACTTTATATGGATGGTAGGTTCTAAAAACAGCACATTGTTAAAAAATGCTAGAAACTATGAGTTAAAAGTAATTGCCCCTTTATAACACAAAAAGATTCTGGCCAAACCTAGTGTTATATGTATGAATGAATGCCATAGCCTGATAGCGTCTGATGTTAAAATACCCCTTGAACAAATCGGGAACAGTCCCCTTAAGACATTTATTATCTTATTCTTCAATATGTTCATCTCGTCTATCGAATAGCGGCATCCGAGTCGTTCGATGATGGCTTCGCTTGTCAGTTCCCGAGAGTTCTTGAGAACAATGCGGCTAGCTCTTCTTTGCAAACGTTCGATCTTTTGCTTGTTCTAAAGACCACAGCTGTTACCACCGCTGCGCACATATTCCGTAGTTACCATGAAACCACGTTAGTGTTTTGAAATCTAATACTTTGTGAGTTTTGTCATTGTGGAAGCCTTTTGCTTATGGAACTCAAAACAGTAGGTAAGTTTTCCTCTTGTATTTTGGACGTTAACTTCGAACTTTTGAACGCTGAATTCATAGTGGATTTATGTTTTGGTTTTAGAAAACCTAACTGGTGCGTAGGATTTACGGGATTGGATTTGAATTTGTTTGGAACTACTCTGACTTCATTGTAAATTGGATTTGACACAGCAGTTCAGGTTGTTGATTTATTTGGATCTAGATCTACTCGGAACATGGAATCCTTTATGGAATAAAGATAAGATTTACGTACGGAGTTCGAGTGTTCCACTTATTTTCGTAACAACAGCCATGCCAGGTGACGTCACAGTACTCCAGAAGCGGTAACACCATGGATTTATACGAACGATTAGTAGATTCAGTTGTTAATAGACGTCTCACTATTGAGAGAATTACCAGTTTCTGGGATACCTTGGATGCTGCGTAATTTGAGTTAGAGGCTGCTAGTACATTTACTGTTTTTAATCATGTTTTATCCTTAGTAGCAGTTCTTAAAATTAAAGTTCCAGACCCCTAAAAAACGTCCCTGAATCAACCAATCAACAAATGATGAGTAAACCATGTGAAAGACACTTATTCTGCTCCTGCGAACATCGCTTGTTTGACTACGTCTAATTCTATATTGTGTTACATTTAATACCAGAGTTCTTAGCAAACTGTTCAACAATCTTCATATTGCTCCATTCCAACTTACGTCCCTTTTTTACCTCAACACCAACTTGGTTATAATGACGCTCTAGAATTCGCAAACAGGTTAAGTTATTGTTGCCGGTATTACATGGGCTTTTATTAGGATCGGTAATAAACTGAAGATCATAGTTGAAAAGAGGCAAATTATCCTTGAACGCAGCGGTATGATTGGTGCATATATGTACCTTATTCCCCGCTGCTCGGTGTGACAAGCAATAACTGACAAGAATCTTTGACCATAACCACGTCGTGCCCTTTGTTTTGTAAGTATGAAAGGCTGTTTGAGGTTCCGACAGTATAGGTTTTGTATGTTCAGGTCCAATAGCATGGCCTTTTGGAAACTTTTTATTATATTTTGTTAGGTTACTGGTGATCTCAAAACTCCAGTCGTAGCGATCTTTTTCAAAATACCAAGCATAACTGAGTACAATGTTTACAGGGGACACCTCCAGCCACTGTGCTTTACCCCTCGTTTCGTAGAACTTGGGAAAGACCTCTTCAAGATCAGTGGAATTGAATCTCTTCAGTATGTATTCTCTGCAGCGCGTAAAGGTATCCCGGTAAATGTATACCGGGAAATAAATCATAAAATCAGCAACGAAGGGCAATCCTAGAGCAATTTCATTTGTTATTATCCAGTGCTTAACCCAAAACCTGCCGTACGTGTTATCTGAGGCCATAGCCCGTAACTTCGTGCCGGCAAAAACTGTAGAATTGGTTACTGGGGTGAGAAAGGCAGTGTCAGTGTCCATCCAAGCAATTATGGAATCGTTTGTATACTGATCAATGAAGAAACTGCTCCAAAGTTGCCTAATGTAACCCTTGCGATGAACTTTACCTGTCAATGTGCTATTGTTTTTGGGAGGAGCCTCAAAGGCTATTGCTATCTTGTAATCAGGAAAGTAACGTTTGTTTTCACGCCTGACTTTTGCGGCAAATTTGTGATCCTCTTTTCCTTCTTCATCAAGGACTATAGCTATCTTTCCAAATGAAGGAGGCCAATAAAGAACCAAAGTCCTGAACAAATGACAGTAATAACGAAACCTGTGATCTGGTTTACTGCCAGACATTCTTACAAATAGCGTTATTGAGGTTTCCGTAAACGGTGGTCCACTGGTGTTTTGGCTGCTGTTAATTTTACAGTTTTTGTCGAGCAGGGGTCGGGAAGTAATATCTATCCGAGCCACGTGTGCTAAATACACGGAGAGGAAGATGAAAGTTAAAATGCAGCAGAAGAGTAAAACCTTTCCAAGTGTAGATAGCTTTAAACAACTCATGTTTTACAAGAAGAAAACAGCCTCCTTCGATTTATGGACCTTCACTGTGGAATAGAGCAAACAAGATCCATTAAATTTGAGGCAACTTGGACTAATCAGGTTAAAGCGCATATTTTACCGCATTTAGACTATCCACACAAACAAATTGGAATTAACTAGCAAATTCCTTGTTTTTGTTTGCCTGACTTTTGTTATTTGTTATTTGAATGACTAATGACAAAAGTCAGACAAACATTGCAAATTAGTCACTCTGACGTCATTTGTACGCTGTGCTATTCCCATGCCCAATGGTCAAAGCAACCTTAATTGAATTAGGTATATACCGTGTGGCACGAAATTTTTTGCGGGTTCTAATTTTTGCGATTTTTCCAGCGATCCGCAAAAGTAAGTTCCCCCAATTAAAAATTACCGCAAACCCTGATTTTTCTCGCAAAAATTTACTCCAGAGTAAATTTCTCTAACTTTGATTCGCTACACAAAAATAAAGTACTACGAAATCGTGTTCAATCACAACTTATCTCTTTCATTCAGAAACAAAACGGTATACAACGAAATAATGGTAATATGTATTTATATTGCACGTACTCAATAAAAACGAAAATATTATCAATGCTAGGTACTGCGTACTTTGAAAAGTCTAAAAATCGCAAACATTAATTCTCAGCAAGAAAACCAATCTGTCCTAATCGGAAAATTAGTTCCCGCGAAACACAAAAAAAAAATCGCCAATCCGCAAAAATAAACTCCCGCAAAAATTTCTGCGACACGGTATTTGATTTATTGTATAAATTTAATCTTGGGGTCAATTTAATAAAACTTCTAAAAGTGAATTTACCAGTGTAGCTGTTGTTTTCTGACGCTAAAACAATGGCTACACTTTTAAATTACACTAGCAAAAGTTTTATTAAATTGAACCCTGGGAATATACTACACTTGTCGTGACTAAAGGCTTGGTTACCAATCGTGGCTTCCACAGTTTACGAAAGGGATCGAAAATAGGCATCGGCGCTATTCCGCATTGTGCCCTCGTCGCCTGCTCAGCCGCTTTTTAAACTTGCACAGTTTCCAGTGAAAGCAAGCTGAATCACTTAATTTATAAGCGGTTAAGTTTACTAGTTTATAACTCTTTATTTGCCTGTCGATTTGAAATGTTTCTTCGGAATTCTGAGGGTAGTTTTAAAACAATATCGCTTCAAATTTATCCGTCTAAAGCCACAAATATAATAACCGTACTTATGTTTCGGAAACGTTAAACTGTTCGTTGCAAATTTTAACACCTGAAGCAAATCAAAAATTCTAGTACCGATATAACTGATAACTCCGATAAAATTAAAATTAGGTCTTATTTAGGTCTTATATTTGATGACCAATCATTTTGAAAATATTGCTTGTCGTTTCCTTGCTGTAAACGATCACCGAATACTGCCATCTTTACTATGTCCTTTTCTACTCCTGTTGCAATGAAAGCAGCTTTTCTACAACCTCATATATCCGTAAATACCATATGCCCTAGTTACTTGGGGAAGAACATTTAAATCTAACCGTAACCTGAGTCAGTTCCAGCGAAAAAGGACATTCGCTACACCATCTTTTGATTCCTCCCAGCTGCCTCGTTATAAGTCATCTTCTACTCAGAAAAATGCAGATTTACTCCCTTAATCATATATTCTTGGCAACACTACTGATTTCTATTTATGTATTTCAGTTCATATTTTTTGGTTTCTCTAGGCTACGCTGCGCTCTAACATTTTTGGGCTTTTTTCGTGCTTTATGTTAGCTTATAACTACTATGTATCTTAAGCTTTTCTCACGTTTTCTTTGTCCTGGGCGCTACAAAAAAATAAATACATACGTTGTCTACAGTCTGACCCGAAATTTAGATCGTGGTCATTTCTAGTCTTTTTCGTTACTTGTAAAAAAATTAAGCCTTGGTATTTAATGTTACGATTACCTTTATCCAAAGATACTTTGCAATGAAACTGTAAAAATAAATAAATATAGCAATGTAGTAATTAAATTGCATTGTATTGTAGCGCGGAAAATGTTTATATAGCCCAGAAACGAAGCATACTGTATTAATCCTTGTACTTTCGAAAGTATGAAGAAATTGAGTTGAAAGATGCCTTATACCTGATTTAAAGGAAACTTGTTTTGCCGAATTCAGAGCCCTGGACGAGCCTGTTTCTTAAAAGATGGGTCTTCTGACAAAAGAGTGAACATTGCTCAAAATTGGTACGTGTTCGTCGAGTCTTCCACTGAACTCCAGAAATATGTTGGTGATATTCAGTTGTTCGCTTTTACTGAAATGGAAAACAACTTACCTAAACATCATTTTAAAACGTTATGACGTTATAAGGCGCTGCCACTTTCCTTTTCCAAAGAAAATAAAGAAGTTATCGCTTTTAAGTATAAATCATATAGAAGAAACCATCGTTAATTAGCTCTTCTTAGAACCAAGAAAACCCGTAAGTTTTGCATATGACGGTAGGCATTAACCCTTTGATTCTAAAAGGCCGAGTGATCAGTATTCTCTTCGTAATATTAGTGGGTTATAAAACTATTTCCGTCCCTAATTGCACACTTTTATTTAATAGAATATCGCGTCTCAAATTTGCGAATTTTAAGATATTTTAAGAATAAACCCGAGGCTGACATTTTGAAGAGGATATAATGTTGTGTGTTAAAAATCCGTAAATACAAGAAACGAAAAAAACTAGCCAACAAAACAAAAAAAATTGCACTGACTGTCATTGCTGGTTCCCTAAATACGCCGTTCTAAAACGGAAATGTTATAAGCTATAATCAAGGACAATACAAGAATACTTTCAGTCTAAAAACGACAGAAAAATAAGAATATTCAGCTTGGGAGGGAAAAACAATATTCTTCTAAAAAAAAGAGTGTCTCTGATCAAACTGGCTAACATGCTCATCGAGTCTTTTAACTCCAAAATGTGTACACGATAAAAGAAATGTCTTCAACAAGTTGTCGCTGAACTTGAGACCAACCTACTGAGACGTCGGATGTAAAAAATATCATTATCTAAAGAAATCAAGCATTTTTTGATTTATGAAAGCCATGACTTATAGAGAGCTTTAGACTCCTCGAGGACGACTACGAGTACAAGATGCTCACGCGTGAACCTGCGTCATTTTGGCGGGAAAACGTGATAGCCGTCGTCATTCTACTACGAGTTTTAGCGAGAATGTCGTGGTGGCGGGAACAAGCTATAAAATGTGAGAAGTTTTATCATTTTGCTTTCGGGAGCTTTCTTGTTTTAGAACACGCGCAAAAACCTTAAGTTAAATCTCGTACTCTTACCCGTTGCCATCCTCAAATCTAAAGCTGTCTGGCTATGTTGAGAGATACGGCTCAAAAGTAAACCTAGCCTGCGCGCAGACGAAATTAAACTCTGGTTAACTCCGTCTGCGAAACAGCGCCGAAATCCTTGTTCTGGACTTCCGGCTGTGTACCCAGATTTGAGTACGCGCCACGATTGGCCAGTTAAAAAAGGCCTTTGTTTTGTTTGTCGTGATCGCCAATCAGGTTGAAGGGGAATTCGAAACGCACTTCCGGTAATTCGTTGAGTCCGTTGGGGGTCCAGAACAAGGATCTCTGCGCTGCTTCGCAGACGGTACTAATCAGAGTTTAGTTATCGTCTGCACGCAGGCTAAAGTAAACCATGCTATTCGCCACTTTACAAAGGAGAAGGCCGAGTTAACTTTTGCAAAGACTTCTGGGAATGTTACTTGGGGCAGGGCAAAGAAATTGACCAATAGCTGAATGGTTGTGACTAGAATGGATACAGTAAAATCAGGTTGGACACCTTATGTTTATTACACAACGCTATACTCGTCGTAGAGAGCCATTTATGCAAATTTATTGGACACATTTTTGAGAAAAGTGGGGAAATCAGAATAAGAGACAGTTGTGCAAGGAAAAGAGTGTAATACAGGGTTTAGCACCAAACTACAGTGATTAGGGCTAAGCACTCTTTTAAAAACGGTTAGCTTTCAATAATGTGATAATCAATGCCATGTAAAGTACGTTAAAATTAGCCGGTGTCGGCAGTTAGCCCTTGATGGAATTGAAGAATACCCTGAATGTGGATTATACATCAAATGATGCGGGCTCGGACTACATACTACCCACTGTTTTCTTCCGTTTTCTTTCTTATCCTTTGACTCCTATCACGTACTTTGAGTAAAAATGACAACCTGATTTTGGGATATCCATTCTAGTTACAACCATTAAAGCTAAATGGCGCCTCTCCTGTAACGATCCCAGAAGACTTTAAATCGGCCCAGTTACCTCTCGCATTTAACGTAGCGAATTACAACAAAATGTTTGATTATTTAGCCGAGGCTTAAGGAAAATACATACACGCCAAGCCATCAATAATAAGGATCTGAAACCACAATGAATAATGACCTTCCGCTCTTTCAACATTTTTTGGAATTATTTCAACTGTTCCGTATAACCCCACACATTTATTATGCATACATGTTTCGACTCTTTTCATATTAAACTCTTTGTGAGAAAAAGTATAAAATTGCTGCATGCATAATAAATGTATGGAGTTATACGGAAATCTTACCTAAACCTATGGAAGAAAAGACGCTTTGTTACAGAATAGGTGTTTTGCCAAAACGGAGGGGTCAGGTTGAACTTAGGACACTTCGAACCAATCAACAGAATTCAGACCAAAAAACAATTTTAAAGGGGCTAAATACACATTATCAAACAAATTTTAAATTTTTATTTGTTAGAGACGTTCGTCGCATGGGAAGCTCGACGTTTGTCCCGGAGACGATCCTCAGACATAAGCAGACGGATAGAACGTGTTGGACGATCCAAACTCGATCAGACGAACTTAACTGAGCCAGAGGTCGAAGTTATCATGAACCTAACTCACTAAGTTTGGTTCGTCTCATGAAAAGTTCGACGTTTAGCCTAGGCCTAAGTCAACAGATAAAAATGTTTTCTGATCCTTTCTTAACTGTTCCAAGAGGGGGAATCTTTAGAGAGAATTTTATTAAGCAGAAATAAAAAATGTAACATTGAGTTAGCCTAACCTCGAGGACAGCAAATAGCCGTGAGAGTGGACATCGCTGCTCACAGATCTAATCGAAATTAGAGCGTAATTGTCGGATCCACTGAACAAAAACCCACTAAGACGAAAGCAGAAAGACTATTTAATATTACAAAACCGTCGAGAGCGAAAACTATTCGTGGATGGCCAAGATTCAAGGCGATAAATTCGCTAAGTAGATTGTCCCGCGAAACTTGAAAAAGTTAGGCAAATCTTTTCAAGTTGACTCGTTGTTGCCAAGCATGCGCAGTTTCGTGACATAGCCCCCTTTAAAGCCTCGACCAAAGCCTGCTGTGAATTTCTGAGCCGGCCTAAGCCTTTGATGACGTGCATATTTAAACTCGTGACTGACAACCTTGTTCCCAGGTCTCCTCGGAGTAAATAAATTAATCCCCTCGCATTTTAATTAGGTGTTCATTAGCCCCCCTCTTCCCTTCAAACAATCAAAGCTGCACTCAGCTTTTCGGACAGTTGACTCGGGGGTTATGTAATATATTCCCCTCGAAACGAACAAAGGAATCCGAGCTTATTTAAAAATAAGGCTTAAAATATTCTGGTATAAGGGTTTCGTCCTCTGAAAATGAAAATTACTCAATTTCGTGATGGATTCCATCTTTAAATAATCTTAGTGGTAAAAGATGTCATCGAGAAAACTGATGACGTACTATATTCAACATCATAACGAAGGGTTCAGTGTAATTTCGAATCGACAACCTTTTAATGAAAGAGCAGAGGGAGCCCAAACGCAAACAGTTTATATCTATAACCTTCAAAGGTTACATATACTGATACTATTTTGATGAAAAATAAAGTTGATTTCATTCTTTTTTAATTTCTTCCTATTATAACAAACTTCCCTCTCGCGGAAGGATTCTTTAATTGTGATTTCTAAACAACAGAAAATAACAGTTACTGATGGACCCAAAAAGAGGAACAGTCTCCACTGTAAACGTTGTCTGGGTTTGGCTTGAGTATTAACCATCCAGGGATACGCTTGTGAATTTAATTTTAATTGCAGATTTTGATCGTAGATCATGTCATGATGGGAGCGTCTTTCCATAAATCGTTGAAATTTTCACCAGTTCTCAGTCTGACAATTGCCGTTTTCACACTAGAGATAGATTAGGGAGGTTAAGCAAATACAACGACGACGTCGACAACTTCGAAAAACAATAGGTGTAATGATCAAAACAACAGCTCTGCAGGTACATCACACTTTTTAGTACATTTCTTTGACGTCCACTGCACGACTACGACCTGAAACCTCATAACTTGACGTTTTATGGAGGACGTGGACAGACGACGACGAATTTTCCTTCCTCTTTTTGAAATTGAATAAAATCTTAAGAATTCAACTCCAGGAAAAGTCGCCTGCATTTTACATTTTGAGCATGTCCAAATAGACGCAATTAAGTTTGAAAGAACGCAAATTCAATTTTTTAGCGGCGTTTTCACTGCCGTCCGTCGTCGTCGTTGCTTAAGGTCCCCACTGATTTAGCAACAGGACGGGAACGTCAGTTGACGACGGGAAAGCGCGTAGAAAGGACTAAACACGACTTCCGGTGCTCAATTTGCCGCTCTGTCATTGGTCAGGCCAGTTGTTTGATTTGCGCGCGCCGTCGTCAACTGACGTTCCCGTTCTGTTGCTAAATCAGCCTTATCGGTCTCAGGACGGGTTATCCGTTGGCCGGATGTTTCGCGTCACACGGATAATAAGTCTGCCTCAATGAGAAAATGTTAAACAAATTGATCTTTATTGTAAAGCCATTATTACACATGTATTACACATAGACAAACTTAATTGCCAACGAAGCAACTGAGCTCAGAAGCGAGGTTGACTCGGCGGCAGAATTATAACGCCGCGCAATGTAGGCAAAAACTCTCAAATTCTGCGTAACCCTCTAAAACTTGCATTTCGACCATATTTGGGTGTAAGTAAGCGAACCCCATATTTAGGTGGTGACGTCATGGTCTTGTATTTACAACTCGTGGTCCGAAATTGGGTTATTCAGGGTGCAGCTGTTCGTTGTCTGTTCAAGAGGACCTAACAGGTGAGCAAGCTACGATTTCTAGTTTGAAAGGGCAATTAGTGCTCTGGTTTGCTTTATAAATTGCGTTTAAAGCAGCAGCTTTAAAAAATAGGGTTTTCCGCTCAAATTTTTGTCAGAACCAGCTTGTTCTTTGCAGCTCGATTTACATTAAGGTAGCATGTTCGCTTCTCGACTCAGAACCAGGGTTTTCAGTGTTCTCTTTTCCTTTGTGAATTATATTTTAAGCGGTAGTTGTTCAAGGCATAGGGTTATATTCTCAAAACTTTTATCACAACCAGCGTGTTCTTCGCAGGTCGATTTACATTGAGCCAGTCCTCACCTCCCGTGAGGAATGCAATGTATTTCCGGACCTTTTATTTTAGAATTTATTCTAGAGATTTTGTCATTCGGCATGTTTTTTGCTGCTCGATTTACACTGAGACAGCTCAAAACTCCCGTGTGGAATGCAACGAATTTGCAACCTTTTGTTTTGAAGACTATCATTATGCTTTTCAAGAGACTCTTTGTCTTGTGACACTCGCTCATTGGATCTTTCTATTTTATTCAAGTTTATATTTTTATACCTTTTTATAGATTCCGCCCCATTCTTGCCCTTTTCACACATTTTACTTAACACAAATTTTTTACCTATATTACCACGCGAAACATTTTTCTTATCCCTGATGACGCTGTTGCTCGCGATTTAATTATTTTTTATAATTTCAGCAGTCAAAGGCCTTATTTTATCTATCTTTTTCTTTTTAACGTTTATAGTTCTGATACAACTGAATTTTCCATGAAACATAAGTACTAACTTGTTCATATTTACCAACAAAGCTTCAAGCCATGTTGTTATTGCTTAAGTAATGATCCCGGTAAGGTGGATAGCCATTTCTTTTGTTATGCGGCAACGGTGCTTTCCCCACATAGGAATGTTCTCATTTTTACACAGAGAATGCAGAAAGCTACATGAAGGCCGTTTACGCAATAAAATGCATTTACACTCCACTTTGAAAGGGTGTTTTTTTGTGTTGAAAGATTTTGACCAATCACGAGAGTTGAAAACAATAGCCAAGAAAAGTCTACAATTTTACATGTTCCTACATATGATTTCTTTGTTATTCAAACTGAGAGCAGATTTTGTTATATGGAAGATGGTTGGAAAGTAAGGATGAATATATGTACTGCTTTATGAACTTTTGCCGTTTAAGCCAATCAGAAGTAAGTACAGACAATAGAAAAGTTAGCATCTTTTTTGCATTCCAACATGTTCGTTGTCGTTGTTGCTATCGTTCTTACCTGGACCGTTTCTTAGGGCCTGTTTACATGGAGTGGGGGACCCCGGTCTAGTGGGGTTGGTTTCTTTTGTTTTCACGCTCTGGAGGACACAAAACAAAAGAAACTTACCCCACTAGACCGGGGTCCCCCACTCCATGTAAACAGGGTCTTAATAATTAAAAAGTGAAAGCCTACAATGTGCCAAAGTTGTTGTTTTGAAGTTGTGTTGAAGAACCTTTCTGGGGAACTAGCTGGTTCTCACAACAAACAGACGATTACTTTTTTCAATTGACTCCTTTTTATTCTTTAGTCCAATGTCACGCAGTTAGCCCAACTTCTATTTTACAATTCTCTGCAGTACAGTGTCTCTGTAACACCCATTTTTATATCAGCCAGGAAACCAGCTGCTTAGTGCAAACCGAATGCTGACGTAAGTCTGATCCGATTGGTTAAACAGTCTCATTAGGGTAATGGGTTCATGATAACCGTCACGAATATAGAGATGTATTTAGCATAGTAGAACAAAGTTCATGACTAGGTGTAGTATGATAAGTTAATGTTTGGTGTAGTTAGTGTAATTAGTGTAGTTGATGTAGTTGGTGTAGTTAGTGTTGTTCATTTAGTCACTGTAGTTGCTGTAGTTCGTGTAGTTGGAGTAGTTACTGTAGTGAGTGTAGCACGTATAGTTGGTGTAGTTGCTGTAGTTGGTTTAGTACGTATTTGTAGTTGCTGTAGTTAGTGTGTACGCTAACTACACGAACTGCACTAACTACCCCAACTACAGCAATTACAGCAACTACGGAAACCGTAGTGGGCTAATTGGATATGGAATGTCTCTATATTTCTGACGGTTATCATGAATCCATTACCCTTATTAGCGTGAAATCGTCGACATAATTGCTTTGTCGAAATGACTCTTCAACCGAAGTTTTCGCTATTAAGCTTAAGTTAACTGGACAATATAAAACTAGGAGAACAATATAACTAGGAGTAATCGGAGCTTAGGAGAGTGCGTTCAATATGTTTGTTAGGCATACAGGTAGCAGTTGAGGCGGAAGGGTAGTTACGATATGGATAAATATGATTATGGCATATTTTGAACGTAAGGGTTGCGTACAGCGAAACCTCTATTTAAACTGTGTATCATTATAACAACGTTTTCAAAAGATATCGTATGGTTCGGTATCAAGAGCTTGTAATCGGAGGAGACATTGGCCACAGTGCGTGTAAATGGAACATTTTGTTTTACTGGCGCGAGTTACAGGGCGCGGTTTCTCAAAGGCCGATTAGTTCTTAACCTGGGATTCTTTTTCCTCTTTGAAAAAAACATTTCTTCGGAAAATTTTCTCTGTTATTTTTAAGAGCAGCCAGTCATCAACTTGTTGACAAAATGAATTACATTGAATTTATTGTTTAAAAAGCTTTCACATCTGAATTTTAACTTCGCACTAACCTTATCAAAGCCTTCAATGGAACGTGTGTGCGGCTCGCGTCAATAACTTTTCCAGTAATTTGGTCGAGCGTGTTGATTTCAGTGACGCGAGAGTGGCGCTACTGTGGGCTGGTTTATAACTTTTTCCTAATAAATAACATAGAGTTAAAGTGTTCGTTCGTCCGGTGCCGAAAATATCACAAGTCATGATCAAATGGCGCCGCCGAGCTTCACATCTCGGTTGATATACTTTGTGGCACAACGGCTGCCGAGCTACACAACTCGGTAGTTAAGTGCAGATAGGTTGCAAATGTAGCCAGCTCGGCGGCCGTTGTGTCACAAAGTAAATCTACACAACTCGGTAAATTTACTTTGTGGCACAATGGCCGCCGAACTAAACCCGGTTTGATGCATGCGCCAGGAGTCGCAGACATTTTCCAAAGACAGTGACGAACCATGCTGAAAAATATGAAGGCTTAATCCAAAGTAAAATTTAACAGCAAACTTCTGAAAGATGACGGCTTTGGACGATTCAGCAAACACAGATCGATGTACGCTTCACCAAGATTCAGCAAACTTTTTAAAAGATGAATGCCTTACGAAGGCAGAATATCAGACCTCCGCAAACCTTTGCAAGATGAATGCCGAGGAGCGAGGACACAAGAATCACCGCATGAGTTTGCGCGTCAAAATGAGCAAAACTTAAGTAAGCGCCTCAAAGCGAGGCAAATGTGTGTCGACGACGACGACGAAAATGCAATCTCAAAAAAACCTCCCTTATTAATTGCACAGAACACCCAATAATGCACAGAACACCCAACACAAATTAGGGGTTCGCAAAAACTACAAGGCATATACTAGTAAACAGACTTTTCAGATAGGAAGGTACTAAAATTGCAGTTTGAAAATCTAAGATGGTTGTCAATTTACAGAATTTATTAAGCCAGGAGCCCATTACGGGCTCCTGATTAAGCTTCTTTATCGAAGATGATTGGCTAAAATTTTTCCATAAATTAACCACGAGCGTGATCGCAAACTCAAAGGGTAAATTAAAAATGCAGTTCAAAATACAAGGAAGAATTTAGAACAATAGCTGTTTAACTACAAAAACACCTATATAAACACTTAAGCCTCAGATGACATTAGTAATGATATCATTGCCCTTTTCCGCTTCGTGCTGATTGGCGGAAATAAGACAGCTCAGTTTAAAGTTATCCACTGCCAAGAATTCGGTTAAAAACTCAAAGAAACACGCTTAAAACTGTTAAAAACTAGCAGGGTAGTCATTTCCTGGTAAATATCGAAGGGACACCAGATTAAGGCCAAAAATGTTAAATTGGACAAAATACCTAATATAAACAAGGCTTTGTCATCTGCCAAAGGCTCTAATTAAACATATTTCATGAACAGAAGTGTTACCGCGGAGATGCACCAAATTGGTACATCTCCTTTGCACCGAATTCATGTCAGGAGAAACTTTCTATCGATCATCAACTAACTTAGGAACCAAACCTACTAGTAGTGAAGTAGCTTACTCAAACCAATCAACAAGAACGCTTACAACAACTCATCTACAGACATATATCGTAGCAAATGCCACAAGTGGCTAACGTAACTCTTCGATCAACTTTCTCCTTCAACAAAACCAAGGAGAATGAATCAACAGAAATCATTTCTCATTTCGAGAGAGGATGTCGTTTGATCAGTGCTGATGCGTAGGAGTTGAACACCAAGTAAAATAAGTCAAATTGTTTTTTTAAATGATATTTTCCTTCACCTATAGATAAGTTCCGAATGGAATGAATTTTATAATAAATCCCAAACACCAAATAAAATTCCTTTGATAATTTTAAGTCAAAAACATGCGCACTGCGAACATTTTTCATCGCTTCCATTTTCATTTTTTAACAGCTGAGTGCCATCCTTTTCTATAGTGGAATCCATTTAAACCTCTAAAATTATGGAAAAAAATATCGCCAAGATCTGAATAGGCACATTTCACAAAAAATAAACGAATTCGCCTCGTTGGCACTTGCCGGAAGGAACCCCTAGTTATGAAATTATTTTTTGGGCAATCGAATAAACATCACTTGACAATGACAATGAAATCACATTAGTTTCAGCTCTAATAAAAAAATAAAAAACAGAGATGAAAATTGTAAAATAATTTTTAAAAAAATTAGAAAAATTGATGTTTCTTGAGTTTGAATTTTGATGACGTACTGTCTGTGAAAACCAGATGTTATGTTACTTGCTATTTTGAGACTTTTTTAATATAAAATGGCAATAACAGCAAGCCTTCACAGGAATTAAGATTACTTAGTGATAAAATAGGCTGAGAACATCTCATCTACGATCGAAGCGGCGAGTTTTCAATCGACAAACTCTGACACGGGCACCCAAAGTCAATTTTCGGAAAACATCTGTTCGGAAGACGACTTGAGATCTAGAATTTTCGGAACATTTGGTGTAAAATTTCTTGCTTGCCTGCCTCTCCTAGGATTTTCGAACATCTAAAAATTGTTATAATTGCCCATTTTTAAGGGATTTTTAGCTTAAAAAGGTCAGCTAGAATTTTCGGGAACCTTTTATCTGGCTGAAATTTTCGAAAAGATAAGTTTTGATCCATGTAATTGTCGGATCACTAGACTTTCAGCTAGGAAATCCGAACAGATGAAAAATTTTTAGGGCATAAAAATATGCCTATATCTACCTTTTACATACTACAATATGTTCAACAATACTATGTTAAAGTGGTTTTGAACCATATTCTCGTTGGGTGCCCCTGCTCTGAGCACGTAACGACGCGGAAAACCTCACAAAAGAGAATTGTCTCCCCGTGGAAATGTCACTAAATATTTCGTGATCTTGATGAATACGTCCAGCAACAAATAAGTTCGAATTTTGCATGATAAATTTGAAAATAAGAACAAACTTACCTTGAAGTCGACGTTGAATTTTACCGACCGAACATGCACTAGCTATTCGTAGAAAGATATACAGACACATTTAAGACATGAAGAGACAGACGGATGGATCAATAGACAAATGGACCGTTTGTTTAACCAAGCTTGCTTGCTTTATCAGCTTCTGCTATAAAGTTACGGCCGTCGATAAAATCCGGAACATGGAACATCCCGGAACATTCCGGAACATTCCGGAACATCCCGGAACATGAAAAAATTAAAATATTTTTTTATGAAAAAATGATTAATTGACTAAATAATAATAATAAATAATAAAAGGAACAATAGATAGAAAACAATTTTTGTAAAAATTTATAATAACAAAAAAAATAACATAACACAACCGGTCAGTATAAAACATGGACTGCGGACTAAATAATGCGGAATAAAAAACGGAATATAAAACGCGGACTAGAAAATACGGACTGGGTATAAAAACGGAATAGATAGCAAAAAAAATCGCTAAATTTTTGTCCGCCTCGTTCTCTGAATCATGAGCCGGATCAAAATGCTAAAATTTATCTGAAAAATAACATGAATGGAAAAAAATAACACTAACGTGAACACAACGTTAAAAACGCTAAAAATAAAGAAACAAAGTCCAAGAAAGTTTTAAAGAAAAAGAAACCCTGGTATCATCGCAGTCCGCAGTCCGTGTTTTATATGACCGAGAAAACGAAAATATTTTGTTCCAATGAAAACAATATTTTTTGCAAGAATTTTTGCAGGCGAGTAAGGGTCCATTCAAATGACAGTCCCCAGTCATCCTACTCACCCTGGTCACCCTAATGAGTGAAGGCTTGCTTCTTAATTCAAAATATAATAAAATGGGTCGCGAGGAGAGGGTTTTCAGGCTTTCGTCACACAGCCACCTCTTGTAAAGGTTTGCCATGTGGTTTAACGGTTATCCATTTACGGCTTTGCGACCGAAAGAAGAGCTTAGGGGCTTGTCGCTTTGGACTTGGATAATTAAATTAAAGATTCAGATTCACCGTGAATAGTTGCAGTTGCAGTGGTAGCGCAGCGGTAGTTTCTAACTGTTATCAGTTAGCCTGAATTTTAGCCGTCTCCCCGCAAACTCCTCCTGCGACTAGAGGAGACGTCTGAAATATCATGCTGACTGTAAACAGTATAGAAACTACTACGAATGTGAGTATTGTCCACTAAAATCCAAAGACAGGAGCCCCTATACTCTTCTTAAGTTCACAGAGCCGCCTAGTCTGTAAGTAATTCATGTTCAAAGAAAGCAAAGCACCTCAAGTAAGCAAATGTCGGTTATAAATAAGGAGACTATATGTTGGCTTGAAATGAGCTACTTACCGACTTGGCTTGACATGAAATACTGCACCGACATTTCAGACCATTGCAGAACCGTAAATGGATAACCGCCAAATAATTAACTCACGGCAAACAATTACAAGAGGTAACTGTGTGAGGAAAGCTTAAAAACCCCCCCTCCTCGCGACCCATTTTAATATATTTTGAATTTAGAAGCAAACCTTCACTCGTTACTGTCATTTGCATGAACCCTCAATCGCCCAACAAATTTTAATTTGTTGCGACAAAATATTGTTTTCTCATACTCACAGAGGATATCAGTTTCTTTTTCTTGATTAATTGATTATTTTTCGTTTTTCTTTTGTTATTTTACGTTATTATTAATTTTTACAAAAAGTATTTTATTATTATTATTTTATTATATTTTTTTTCATGAAAATTATTTTTATTTTTTCATGTTCCGGGATGTTCCGGAATGTTCCGGTGTTCCGTGTTCCTGGTTTTATCGACGGCCTAAATTTACATTATGGACGTGCATTAAAATACGCGAGTTTGTACCATGTTTGTTTTGAGTTTTTACCTTGTGACCATGTTTTCGCTTTTGAGTGCGGTTGTTTACTGTTCATTATAACTTCACGAAAATCGGTAGATTCACGCAATTTCTATCCATAAGAATTGTATTGAGCGGTTTTTAGCTGCTCGTCATTTCCTATTTCGAGAACTTCTCAACTTAAATCTCACGTTTGCCCTTGGCCGTTAAAGCGACTCTAAATCTTTCTAAAAAAACACATACGCACAAAAATAATGGAAGGTATCTCTAAAGTCAAAATTAGACATTTTGTCTTCAAATAACAGGGGCACCCAGCGAGAATATAGTTCAAAACCACTTAAACATAGCATTGTTAAACGTATTTTAGTATTTAAACGGTAGATATAGGCATATTTTTATCCCCTAAAAATTTTCATCTGTTCGGATTTCCTAGCTGAAAGTCTCGAGATCCGAAAATCATAGGGATCAAAACTTACCTTTTCGAAAATTTCAGGCAGAAAAAAGGCTCCCGAAAATTCTAGGTGAGCTTTTTAGGGTAAAAATCGGTTAAAAATGGGCAATTACACCAATTTTTAGATGTTCGAAAATCCTAGGAGAGGTAGGCAAGCAAGAAATTTTACAAAAAATGTTCCGAAAATTCTAGATCTCAAATCGTCTTTCGAACAGATATTTTCCGAAAATTGACGTTGGGTGCCCCTGAAATAACTGACAGCTAGCTTATCTTACCCTTTTTGTTTGATCATGCAGTAGCCCCTTCCGCGTTGGGAAGGAACGCTTGACGAACTGCAAGTAAGGGTTATCGGCCTGAAGCGAGCTGGGGGTTATGTGATTTATTTCCCTCGTGCGCCTTCGGGCAACGCACGAGGGGAATAAATCACATAACCACGAGCTGAAGGCCGACGAACGGCTTATTTTTACATTGGCGAGGATTCCTCAAGGGATGCAGCAATACTTTGACGAAAAATGTCTCTTATTGTTCATCCTTCTTTTGTTTTTTAACACTCCTTGCTGGCACAGGTGGCATTGACAGGTTTCTCGGCTTTTTAATTATGTTAGTTTTTCAAAGTCGCATTTCAAATTAGTTGTTCGCAGTGAATGCTAGAAACAACATAAAGAGCCTAGCAGTCGACTAGCAGTGTCGAGCGATTCAGAGCCGAAAGTAGAGCCGTTTATTACTGAAACTAAAGCAGCTTCAGTGGCGGTACAGCAAGAGCTTTCGGAAAAAAAAAAATTGGAATCTTCATTTGAGGATGCAGAAAACGAGCAAGCAGTTGACAATTTCAATTTTCGCACCGAGGATCTTTCGACCAACCTGCATGTTTACAGACAAAGAAGATTCCGGGCGAGGGATCACTACTGTAACTGACAGGGAAATTCAGTCGAGGAATGAAGCAAGATTACCACAAAACACAAAGAGGTCAACTACATGTCTTCATGAAGTACACGAGTTTGGGATGACTGGTTAAAGAACGGAACACCTTACCATGTCAGCGACACTTTCGTGGAACCGTAGAATTTTAAAGACGCTGCTCAATTTCGAACTATCGTTCTGGCTGTGGAAATCGATGAACCAACATCTAAGAAAATTAGTGAATGTGGCGCAAAAGAAACGCAGCTCAGTTTAGTTTTAGTAATTATAGCGTCGTGTACGTCGTGTTTAATATTTCCAATAAACATTTGTGAATTTTTTCTTTATGAAAACCTAATTGAAATGCGAGGGGATCATGTATTAATATGCAAGGGGAATAAGTCACTTATCGCCCTTTCATATTAGTACATAATCCCCTCGCATTTTAATTAGCTGTTCATTAGCCCCGCTTCTCCAGTCAAACAATCAAAGCCGCACCCAGCTTTTCAGACAGTTGATTCGGGGGTTATGTAATATATTCCCCCCTCGAAAAGAACAAAGGAATCCGAGCTTATGTAAAAATAAGAACGTCTGCGTAGGATCAGACCGAGTGCAGCTGGAGCGGGTTATTTTCTTCAGTTATTCTCATTCGCGTAAAAGCTGCCGCATGACAATTTCATCGCGTCTATGGAACAAATCTCAACGCACATCGGCTGGAAATGTACTCAGACCGCTAAGTATTAAAATCAAACAGACAAGTTCCTTAGCTCACCAAAGTGGCTGACATGCTTGCCCAAAGCACCTCAGCCGTCGACAAGGACACGGCTCCCAAGGTCAAAATCATTGCGGAAACCTTCCGTTTCTATGACAAGATTTGGCTACACTAAAACTTAATAAAGTTTTCTGGCAATTATTCTCCGTCTTTTGGATTAGTCTATAGCACCCCTTGTCTCTGGGAAAATTATTTCACCCATAACTTATCCATCAAGAGGCACAGGGTGGCTTTTAATGCGAATGGAAATTAGTTACGATTCATTATCAATTATTATTTAATAGTATCAAAGAACTCAGTTTCGAATTACCAAAATTGATACTTGGCTCCCAGCAAGCAAACAAAAGTAACGAATTCATGTTCGCATAAAAGGCACCCTATGCTTCTTGATGGATAAGTTACGGGTGAAAAAGTTTGCAAAAGCCGCAGGGTGAGGTTACACAGGAAATTTGCCAGCGCCGCCGTAGGGGAGGAGGGTGGGGAAACTTGTTTGTTCCTTGTGGAGTAGACTTGCGAGAAGAGAGCAAATTCGTTTGCAAGGGTGTATAAAAGGCCTAGAGAATTTCCCTGGGGACCAAAGAGGGCCAATAGAGTGTTTTCACTCACGTGGCCAGCCTCTATGCAAATTTATTGGCACAAAAGAAAGCGTTTGCATAAGAAAAGAGTTCAGCTCCCAAAGGATTGGTTTGGGACACCAATATTGCCGCCGTTTCATTGTTTTGGGACACCAATATGGCCGCTGTGACGTCATGTGAAAAGTGGCTTACGAGGGAGCACGCAGTCATCTAGTTGATTAAATCGTCTTGCGGCGACTTTTACGCGAATGAGAAAAGAAATCGAATCGGGATTCAATGATTAATAATTCATTTCTAATGTCTTATTCCCCTTAGCCTCCACCTGCAAGCCAAGTATGAATTTTGATAATTCAAACAAAGCTGATCTTATAACCCAATATTATAACCCAGTTTCAATATATTAAAATTCTAACATGAATCCGAGGCTTTCTGGTCAACACTTTTCTATATGCTGTTTGCTTTTGTTTAGACTGCGAGCAGTCTCTCTTTGTCTTCAGATTTAGTAAGGGGAATGCATGCGCGCGAGAGTGTTGAGC